CCGGAGTGAGATGTGGGGCGGGCGGCGGGCAGAGCCGAAAGGAGCCGAGCTAGCGGACGCCGACGCCACCTGATCCCATCCAAGTGCTGGGAGGCGATCGAACTGGTACTTTGCTCTCAGGGTCCCAGCGCCCTCAGACCCTTGCGGATTTCGGAACCAGGGTCCAGAGGGAGCGGGGAGTCACCCCTCACCGGGGTGGGAGGCTGAGCTCGCGCGCGCGCTGCGTGAGTACTGCAGTGGCCACTCTGAGGCTGAGGGGAAAGCGGGTGGACCGCACGGGGATGGTGAACAAGGAGGAGGCGGGAAGGGAGAATGCTGTGGGGGCCTAGTTCCTGGAGACCAAAAGGAAAGGGCTCTTTGCTGCCTCCGGGGAGGGGGACAGGACAGAGCAAGAGGGTGATTCTGGCCTATCTCTTGTGGTGACCAGGTACCGGTGCCATTCCAGGATCCCTGGATGAGGCTGGAGTGAAAGTGAGGGAATGGGGATAAGGTGGGGGTGGTAGTGATGGAGAAAGGAGGATGAAGGGAATTCAGAGGCAGCTATGAAGCGGGGGTGGATGACAGGGAGAGGAGGCTGGGGGGACCTTGTGCAAGCTGGGGTGGGAAGAAGGAAAAGAGGGAGGTGGAAAGATACTCGATCTCCTGAGCCATTAATGTGCTACTCCCTCTACCCTTGCTACTTCGTCTCTGGGGCCCTGGATCAGTTTCTCTCCTCCACGGTCTGTGCCATCCTCCAGGTCAGGATGGGGTTTCCAGGTCATCAGGAGGTCAGTCCAGTGGTCCAGGCCAGACCCCCCACTTTTAGTGCACTGGTGTCAGCCATGGAGCTCAGAGGAAACAGAAAGGGCTCACTGGGTTGGGGGCGAACATTCAGGCCAGTTTTCAAAGCTCTGGCCGTTTATACCATTTCTTCTTTGGTTCCCTGGAGAAAAGAAAGTAATTTGCAAAACTGGGCAGAGGCCTGAGGTAAATTGTTTTGACTAAAATTAGCTCTGATATTCTGATGAGGCTGGCACCCTGACCTGCCTGGGATGACAGAGGGAACCTCTATATATATGGAGAAGACACTGGGGAGTAGTCTGAAGTCTCTTGCAGGCGCAAAAGCCAGAACCACTGCTCTAAAGCCTGGCCAAACAGCATTGCCACCCATCTGCATCAACCTAAAGACCAGAGGGAAACCCAGCCCAGATGGTCCCTCTGTCTCCCCTGCCCTAAGTTCATCTCCAAATGGGGCATCTTGCATTGACCTGGCTGAGGTAGGCAGGTCTTCTCCAGTGTCCGAGTGAAACCCTCTATCTGGACCTGGAATGTTTTGCCTGGCTGAATGCCCACCCAGAGGAGCCAGAGTTCCTGCTTTCAAATACCTGAAAGTCTGTCATGGAGAAAAATGTGCTGTGTGCTCTGGGAAAAGCAGGAGCCACACAGCACAGAAGAGGATGGAGAGGGTGCAGCCATCAGGGTGATCCCTCTGTCCCAAGAAGAATTCTGTAACTGTGGAGGCTGCTCAGTAATGGACCAAGCTATATCTGGAGGTGATAAACAATCTTCACTGAGAGAGGCCAAACAGACTCTGAGGGATGGGTGTGCAGAGAGTTCCTACACTGATGATATCTATCTCCTGGCAGGTGTCAAGCTGGGACTGAGGTGACATCAGGCACCCCATCACCTTTATATGGCCAAGGAAAAGCCTGCTGTAGTGTCTCATAGTTTTGACCTCCTCTGCTGGCTCCAGTTCTGAGAAATAGAGCAGTTTCAACTAGGTTACCAAAAAAAAAATTTTTTTTTTGATCTTCATTTTTCTCCTTGGAAAACTTCCACCTAGTCCTCAAATCCACTAGGCAGGATGCATGACAAAGAGGAGTTCATCATGGAAGGGCCTTGCTTTTCTGACTTGCTTTTTTTGACGGGGGGATCAAACTCATGACCTGCCTTGCCAGCACCATTGAGCTAAATTTCCAGCCCCTATGACTTTCTCTTGCTGGCCGCTCTACTCAGGCTGAGGCAACCCTTCTCTGCCCCAAGAAATCTGAAAAGTCAGGCAGGACCATAAGGCTGCCTCTATTTGCCCTTCATTGTCCTCTGTGGCTGGAATCTTCACCTTGGCTCCAGGAAGATTGTCTGAAGGCAGGTGGAAAACCACGTGATGGGGCCTGGAGAGATGGAGAAGCATAACTAGGACATCTTTTTGCCTAAACAGGTTTAAATGTAATCCAGGATTAATGGGGGTGTGGAGGTAAAAAGAGATTGGAAGCCAAGAGTAGGAGGCAATCAGAGGGTTTTCACATTACCTCACCCCTCCTGGGACCCAGGTGTTCTAGTTCCACATACACATGCCCATAAGGTTCCAGGCACCCTCCCCTTTGGAAAAGAGGTGTGTATAAGGGCTGAAGCTGAACCAGAATCTGAACATATACCCCTGGGGCAAACCAGAGACCTACTGTAGCCTAGGGACAGGCATGGCTCCTGAAGATGACATTCTACCCAGGATGCCACAAATTTGGGCTGCCCTTGAGCCAAGACATCCATTCAGGAAGAGGAGACTGGCCTGAAACCAGGCCCTGCTCCCACCTCACTCCTGCCACTCACCTGGGATGGAGGCTTACTTCTTGCTAGAGATTGTTAGCAGCCACCTCTGTATTCTCCACACTTCTACCTTGACCCTCCCAGGCTGCCATCATGCCTTGGCTAGTCACCTCCACTACAGAGTCAGCTGATGGGGCTGCCTAGGTTTCAGGTTCAAGATAGGAGTGAATAATTTCAAGTCCTTTCCCTCTTGGATTTATGAGTCCTAAGATATATAGGCAGGAGGCCATCCAGGAGTGCTCAGCGCTGAGATGCATACAGAATTGCCAGAATCAGGACAGGGATGGGGAAATCAGTCTTCTATAGAAATAGCAGATGTCCAAGGGCATGAACTTTTGAGGACAGAAAGAATAATAGGTCTGCTGTGCAGTTCTGCTGTCACCAGCTGTGTGACCACAGACAAGTGAGGTCACCTGTTAGAGCTTCATTTTCCTCATCTATTAAGTGGGAATACTAACTTTACTAGAATGGTAGTGAGTAGTAAATGGCTTTAGTATGTAATAGTATGGAACATACAGTAAGCCTGCAAAACTGATATGAGATTCAAGGAAATGAAAGCCTGGCCCATGTTTCTGAGGAGCTCAGTCTTTGGGGAATTAGGGCCACCCATTGGCTGAAGCAATCAAGCAAGAAGTTTGGGAGGGCAAACCTTGAACTGAGACTTCTGTACTCTAAGCCACATGCAAATGCTAAGGCCAGCCTGTTATGGGAGCAGATACAAATGGCCATGAGATAAAGACTAGTGAGAGACATGAAGAAAGACAGAGACAGGGCTCAAGGGACAGAGTAGCTGCACTCTGAAGGGCTGGCCACACCCCAGGCCCTGTAATTCCACCCAAGACTGGGCTACTGGAACAGTGAGAAGATAGGCCTTGGTGATAGGAGGTATGAATTTGATCTGCTCTTGTTCTCTCCTCACCCTACTCACTGGAGTTCTACTTTGCAGCAGTTCTTCGAGGGTCTGGAGTCCATCTCCTCTGCTTCCTGCAAACCTGTCTGCCTCCTTCTCCTGCCAGGCTTCTCGAGAACCCTGGCCCTGCTACCAGAGCCCCAGGAGCCCCCATGAGTGCTGGTGAAGGGAATCCTGGCTAGTGAGGCCCAGGGCAGTCTGGGGGTGGCGCTCCACCATGCCACCTATTCTCCAGCAACTGCAGCAGGCCACCAAGATGATAAGCCGCAGGAAGATCCTACTGTTGGTGCTGGGGTGCAGCACCATAAGCCTCCTTCTCCACCAGGGGGCACAGCTTAGCTGGTAAGTGGTCAGGGCCACATGGAGGGGCAGGGCCCAGGGAGTGGAAATGTGTTTGCCTAGAAACACCTTGGGTTAGCAACAGGATTGGCTGGTCCCCTTCCCATTCTTTCACCTGCAGGAAAAGCTCTACTGGGCTTTGTTCCTTCCCTCTATCCTGAAAGTATTTTCCATATGTGTCCTTGAGCAACACAACAGGTACTGGTCTTCACTGAAAGAACTGAGTGACTTGCTCTCAGTCCAAGAGTTAGCTGGGGTTCAAATCTAGCCTTAATTCTTTTCACAGCATTGTGGCTAAGTGCCTTCCCAGTAGACCGCAAACAACTTTTCATTATTTCATGTGTAATGCCCACTTCTCTGAGCCCTAGATTCCTCATCTACAAAATGAGAATATATGTGACCTGCTAGTCACCCTGATATAGGATATCATTTTAACCTGGCCCCTGCTCCTGACTCTCTGAACCTAAGAAGTCACTGCCCCTCTCAGGACCTCAACTTCTCCATTTTCTACATGGTCTACATGGTCTTCCCCTCAAGAATGGAGCTTGTTTATATTTGAGATTTTTTTATTTTGTTTTGGGAGGGGTCTTGCTATGCAGTTCAGGCTGACCTTGAACTCACTGTATAGCCCAGACTGGGTTTGAAATCACGGAAGTCCTCCTGAGTGTTGGGATTACAGGAATATGGCAACCCTGGCTCCTGAGAATGGTGTGAATGGGCCCAGTGTCCTTTTATAAATGACATGCTGGTTTTATAAGTGATTGTGTAGACATCCTTAGCCCAAACCACCCACAGAGAGGAAATTTCAATTATGTTCTCAAAGCTGCTTAGGGTTGCCCTTATTACATGATGCTTAAGGAGAGAAGAAACAGGAAAGTGAACCAAAGCCTGCAGAGACCTTACAAATCACCAGTAATCCCAAACACTTGTTTTAAAAAAGAGGCTCACAAATGAAAACTTCATGAGGGCTGGATTATGTTTTGTATACTATTGTATTTCTTGAGTTTGAACACTGCCTGACACATAAATGCTCAAAAAAATGTTTGTTGAATAAATGAATGAGGCTCCAGACACCTTAACAGAAGCTTCACAAATAGTGTTTTGCTGCAAAGCTTAGTGCACCCCTCTGAAATGTGAGGAACCAGTTAATGTGAAAAAAAATCAGAAAGAATGTGGATTTGATGACTCAGTTGTCTCCATTTTCCTTTGTGTGTGTGTGTGTGTGGAGGTGGGTACTGGTGATCAAACCCAGGGTTGCACCTCTAGCGTTATAGCTCAGTCTCTTTTTCTCTTTTTTTTTTTTTTTGAGACAGGGTCTTGTTATGTAGTCCAGGATGGCCTCAAACGTCTACCTCAGTCTCCTGAGTGATGGGCTCATAGGCGTATGCCACCACATGGGCACCAGTCCTTTTTATTTTGAGAGAAGTTCTCACTAAGTTGCTCAGCCTGGCCTCAAACTTGCAATTCTCCTGCTTCAGCCTCCTATCTAGGATATAAGAGGAATTCACCACCATGCCTGGCTTTCCTTTGATCTTCAGTTTCCACATCTGTAAAGTGAGACTCCTAAAGGATCTCCAAGAACCTTGGCCCCTTATCTATTTCTCCATAAATAAATTAATTTAAAACTTTAGCCGCTGGAAATAAGTAGTACTTATTTTCTCTGTTTCTGTGGGTCAGGAATCTAGGAGTAGTTTGCTAGGTAGCTCTGGTTCAAGGTCTTTCATGGGTTTGTAAACAAGATGCTCGTCAGGGTGGTGGTCTCATCCAAGTCTTGACTGGAAGGGTTTCCCTTCCAAGTTCACTCATGTGATCTGGCAGTCTTCATTTCTCCCAGCAGGTTAATGGGCCTGGCCCTCGGTTAACTGTGGGCTGGTCTCATGTGGTATCTCCCACATAGGGCTGCTCACAGTATGGCAACTTACTTCTCCCAATGTGAATTATCCTGGGGACAGTGGAAAAATACCAAAATGGAAGACTTTTTATGATATCATCTCAGAGGCGACATCCATCATTTCTGTCCTATTTCACAGGTGTGTCATTAAATACAGCTACACTCAAGGGAAGGGAATACACAAGAATATAGCTATCAGGAGGCTAGTGATTAAAGAGCTCATTTTAGAGGTTCCACCACCCCTCTCATCGTCCCAAGGTGAAGCTCTGGCTGGCTGCTCTGGGATACATCCACCATTCTTGGGGAGGGGTGAGGGTCAAGCTGCACCCTCTCTCACGCTCCTCTGGCACACTTCCTGGATCCTGCAGGTACCCCAAGCTGTTCCCCCTGAGCTGCCCTCCTCTGCGGGAGTCGCCACCGCGCCCCAAGCACATGACAGTGGCCTTCCTGAAGACACACAAGACAGCGGGCACAACGGTGCAGAATATCCTGTTCCGCTTCGCCGAGCGCCACAACCTGACAGTGGCCCTGCCGCACCCGAGCTGCGAGCACCAGTTCTGCTACCCACGCAACTTCTCAGCGCACTTCGTGCATCCAGCCACGCGGCCGCCTCACGTGCTGGCCAGCCACCTGCGCTTCGACCGCGCTGAGCTCGAGCGCCTCATGCCGCCCGGCACGATCTACATCACCATCCTGCGCGAGCCGGCCGCCATGTTTGAGTCGCTCTTCAGCTACTACAACCAGTACTGCCCGGCCTTTCGGCGAGTGCCTAACGCGTCACTCGAGGCCTTCCTTCAAGCCCCCGAGACCTACTACCGGGCAGGTGAGCACTTCGCCATGTTCGCTCACAACACGCTTGCCTATGACCTGGGCGGCGACAACGAGCGCAGCCCACGCAACGACGCCGCCTACTTGGCAGGCCTCATCCGCCAAGTGGAGGAGGTCTTCTCGCTCGTCATGATCGCCGAATACTTCGACGAGTCGCTAGTCCTACTGCGGCGCCTCCTGGCCTGGGACCTGGACGATGTGCTCTACGCCAAACTCAACGCGCGCGCCGCCAGCTCGCGCCTGGCCGCCATTCCCGCG